CATATAATTAGGTAATTAGATAATAATATAAATTATTATAATAATAACATGCACAAAATTAAAGAAACAGAAGAGATTATATAATTAAGAGAATTTTAGGGAAGGAAAGGACCTTAGAAAACATCTAGTCCAGTCCCTTAATTTTCTAGATAACCCTTTACACTCACTCAGCACCTGACAGTTCACTAGTGAGGTAGGTGCAATAAGGATAACACTAGCAAAGTGACGTCCAGAAGAGTGATTCGACTTTTCTCAGGTCACATGCTAGTGAGTGGCAGAGCTAGCAACAGAACTCAGTCTGACTGCAGGTCTCATATTCTTTCATCTACACTGCAGCCATTAACACAAATTATAAACAAGTTTTGTCAGGATAAAGTGTAACACCCACAATCTTGCCAGCAGTGCCTTTCCTCTGTTGATTAGCTCCAATTCTTCCTGTCTATACCTTATTTGTACATAATTGCTTGCTGTTATCTCTCCCCATTAGACTGTGAGCTCCTTGAGAGCAGGGACTTGGCTTTTGCCTTTCTTTGCATCCTCAGCTCTCAGCACAGTATCTGGCACACAGCAGTTGCTTAATAAACGTTTACTGACTACTGATTGTCTTAGACGTATCTTCTAGAAAGTGACAATTATTTTACATGCACATAATTGAAAGAATCAGATAATCTCAGGATTGGAAAAGAATCCAGAGATTACCTATCCAGTCCAACCAATGCTTGTTCAGGGATATCCCCCACAAGAGCTCTGACAAACAGATATCAAAGCACCACCTAAATGGTGAAGCCTACCATTCTACTTTTGGACAGAATTAACTGTGAAGAAGTTCTGCCTTTTATCAAACTGGAATCTGCCTCTTTCAATGATTTATAACACTTCTTCCTTCTGGGGACAGTGGAAAGGGTCTACTATTAGCATAACACAGACTTCTGGGACTTTACAAATGACATTTGACATACTTTATCCTACAAAATACTGGAGAAAACTCGTAAAATCAAAGAGTATTCTAACAAAAAACTCAGGGAAATTTTTTTAAGTGACCTGGTGCTTTCATTATTATTCAGTTCATATACTAAGAGGATATGATCATACATACAATAAAGAGACTCAATCAAGTCTCACTTCGCTGGATCTGTAAAATGGCAACTGAGAGGAGGTAGACTAGATGATTTCTAAGGTACCTCAGTGATCTAATAGTCTACAATCCTATGGCGGAAAAAATACGCAAAAAAAAACAAAACACCTCACAACCTCATACCTACATATAAAAAATAAAAAACAAAAAAAGACCTCAGTAGTTTTAGTAGCCTGCAAGCTCAATAAATAAACTGTGTGCTATGGTCACCATAACAGCCAATGCAATCTCAGTCTGAAGTAAGGCAGGTCTCATACCTAAAAAGAAAGAAATGTAACATGCTTGTCCCCTGCTCTAATCAGTCCACATATGGAACACGTGTTCAGTTCTAGGGGCCCCATCGTAGTAAGGACACTGAGAAGCTGAATAGTACATACAAGAACATAGTGAAGGACTTCAAAATCATACTTTTTGAAAAAAATGTCAATGAAACTAGTGATGTTTAGCTGAAAAAGGGATGACTGTATGGGGAGGGGGGACATAATATCTGTCTTCAAGTATCTGTAATATTATATAGAAGAGAGATTAGACTTGTTTTGTTGTTCTGTTTTAATTTAGCCTCAGGAAACAGAACCAGAAGCAGCTAGTGAAAATCACAGAGGCAGTTCCGTGCTTCCTAAGAATTATAGTTATCCCAAAGTCTAACAGGCTGCCTTGGGAGAAACTGGATTTCCTTTCTTTTGAGCACTTCAAGCAAAGGTTGGATGTGGTAGAAGGGATTCTCGTCAAGACATACCTTGGACAAGAATGCCTCAATTCCCTTCCAATTCTAAAATGCAGTCCCTCATGTTAAAAAAATCTTCCTTGAGTCTCTATTACACAGAGAAATGATCAAACTCTTTTGAGTTTGGCATTTAACACCTTTCACAATCTGATACCACCCTACCTTTATAGCCTTATTACATGTTATTCTTCCTCCAAGAACTCTTCCCTAGCCAAAGTGACCTTACTGTATCTTCTAAAGACATTCAGTACTTTGCCCACCTCTAGTTATCCATGCTTAGAATAAGCTTCCTCTTCTCTCTCCATCTGCTAATGACTCTACTCACCCTTTAAAGTCGAACTTAAGTGGTACCTCGTCCATAAAGCCTTCCTTGTCCTCACGCTTCTTCTCCCCTTCCCTCATATCCTTAACAATCTTCCCCTTTGGTATTCACATAGCATTTTGTCTTCTACCTCTTTAATGTACTAACCATGTAATACTGTTTTATTATTGTAATTTGCATTTGTGTCTTATTCTCCAACTAGATTATGAACTCCATGAGGAGCCCTCCATCTTATTTAAATACTGTCTTTCTCCCAACACCAAGCACACTATTCTGCACAGAGCAGGTGCTTTATAAAAAAATTGATGAACTTGAATTTACAGTGAAAAATCAAGAAAAGACTGTTTTCATAGAAAGAATGACTGCTATACAAATCTAGCTGTGTTCTGCTTAAATGTGTTTGAAAATGTACATTCTGGGGGAAAATAAGTTTGAAAGTAAGCTAAAGGCTTTTAGAGGTTAGGCAAGAGACCAAAAGTATGCAGATGTAAGTAATCAATTGGTAAAATCAGCTCTAGTCTTCCAAGTACAGGGAACTAAGGGAAAAGTCGGTTAGCCGAAGGAAAACCACAGCAGGCACATTAAGGAGTGTATAAACACAAGATGGTCTAATTTCTTTCTCTTCTGGCTTGAGCCAGCCAAGCCATGTGATGTAGGGCAAGCATGTAAAACAGACTTTTCTCTTCATGTAAAGAAACAGAGAAAGACCGGATAGCTTGTACTGATTACAACTAGCAAACGAAGGCAATTAAAAGCAAATAAGATTAAAGGAGAATGGACATGTTTTAGGCTTTTGGCCCCTTAACTACTCTAAGTTCTGGAGCTTGAGATCAGAAGACACAACATATTAATAAAGAATACCTACCAAATGCAATGCACTGTTATTTAGTGTAATATCTAACAAAAAGCAAGTTAGCAGAAATTATTTTACAGAAATAATCAGCAGGGCTATAAACACAAATACACATTGTTAATAGAACTAGAAAGTAATTCAGAATTATGCTTTTTAAAAAACATAATTTTTAAAAGCTTTTTTTAATGCCCATATTCTTTGATCTAAATATCCCACTGCTTATAGTATACCTCAAAGAGGTCAGAGACAGAAAGGTCTGATGTTCACCAAAGTAATCCTAATGAATGGGAAATGGCCGAATTGAAATATGAATGTAATGGAATATTACTATGCAAAAAGAAAAGGTGAATATGAAGAATTTAGAGAAACTTGGAAAGACTTATATGAACTGATGCAGAATGAAGTAAGCAGAACCAGAAACACAATACACTTCAAGTATAAAATAATGTATATGTTGTGGGCAAAAAAACAAAATTGAATGCTTTATATTTCTAAGCACCAAGTCTGCCCTTAGAGAAGAATCAAGAAAATATATACACTTTCCTTCTTTTGCAGAGGTGTAGAACTATGGTTAGACAACACTGCATATACTATTGGCCACGACTGATGTGTTGGTTGGGTGTTTTTTCCCATCTGTATTACAAAGGATTGTTCACTAGGTAGAGGAAGCATTCAGAAATGAAAGTGATATAAAAACAAAAGATATTAATGAAATGCTATTAAAAAAATTTGCTGGTTCTCTACTTTTTTATCCAATTCAACTGCCTTTAGAGACAAGCCAATTATTTTAGGCCAACCTAACTGAGTCTGACAGTTTCTTCTCTGAGGTAAAGCTTGGTCAATATAATTAGATAGTGGCCAGTTTTATCCATTGTTTGTTTTTTCATTCACATTTTTATATTTTGTGTATATTGCTTTCCTAATCCAATTTACTTTGCATAGAAACACTCCATCATATTCATGTGCCACAATTCATTTAGCCATTCCTTAATCAATGAACATCTACTTTGGAAACTGCTAGAGAGAGAGAGAGAGAGAGAGAGAGAGAGAGTCTGTGTGTGTGTGTGTGTGTGTGTGTGTGTGTATGGACCTTCCTTACTAATACACGCTAGTGAAATCGATGGGTCAAAAAGTGAGGGTATTTTGATAACTTTCTTAAAAATAAAATTCCAGATTTTGCCATCTGTTTCTATTCCTGCCTCTAGACTTCTTTTAAACTATCGATTTGATCGGGAATACCATCCCACTTCCCATCTAACAAACCAACCATCTCCCTTCAAAATCTACTGAAAGTTAACTTTTCCCAACACACTTTCTCTTTAGGGAAAAAAATAAAATGAAGAGAATAAATACGCTTACCCATATCTCCCACAGACTTTCTCAGAAGTCTTATTCTATTCTTTTATGAAAGTATATACAACGAGGGCAGCTAGGTCGCACAGTGGATAGAGCAATGACCCTGGATTCAGCAGAACCTGACAGGGAACTAAGGGAGTTCAAATCTGGCCTCAGACATTTGACATTTACTAGCTGTGTGACCGTGGGCAAGTCACTTAACCCCACTGCCTAGCAAAAAACAAAAAAACAAACAAAAAAAAGTATATACAACCATAAAATAGTCTATACAAAATCTACAATATGATAGAAATAAGTAACACATGGTGATAATTTTTCTCATTATTTATAATTTTTAACAAATGCAGCAAATTTAACATTCAATATTCTTAATGCTGAAAAGTAAGTCAAAGGAGATAATATAAGCCCAAAGAATGGCTACAACAATACTTTAATAACAATGAGTCAATATTACCTTGATAAATTCAGCAAATTGTCTTCTTTCTAGCAAATATATTACTTTATAGCTTTTTTCAATGTTTGTTTCAGACTCAAAGTTCCTATTCAATATAGCTGCGTTCAGAATCCACTATCTATTTTTTCAGGCAACGTATGGCCACTATGTTATTACCTTCTATCCTTGTCTGCTAAGTGTTCCAACTGGTTCTTCCAAAGGATATCTTCTTCTGTCTTGTTGAAAAACATCAGCTTCACTTTCCTAAAAGCAAATGCTACATTGTACAAGAGCATGAACTCTTTCAATTGAATTTTTAAATTATGTATAAATATGTACAGTAAAGGGGAAGTGAAGTGAAAATCTGTTATACTACAAGGTGACCACAGGGAACAAAGTAAAGTGAAATGAAGGAACCAACCCCCTTAATAATCAAGCTGGGGACAGAGGAAGAATGAGGAATGATTGGCAGGATAATAAAAAATATGTTCAGAAGTTTCACTGCAATATTAAAACCAGAGAGAAGTAGTATATGTTGTACTGCTCTAACTGAACTTCAGAAAATATATTAATTCAGATTGTCAACATATTTTTTTTAAATCTACAAATAAAATTTACATACCTGAGACTGGTTGTATTAGTCAAAGCATAATTCAATATTTTAACCATTGGTGTAAAACCTGTTCCAGCTGCCAATAAGAAGAGTTCTTCTAAATCTTGGAGCTGAGATTTTTTAAAGTTGCCCTCAGGACTACTCACAGAAACATAATCCCCTAAATAATAAAATAAATTATCAGAAAAAAGAAGTGAATCCTAGAAAGTCAAAGACAGTGGAGATCTCTTATAACATGATGCTGGTGACAGGATTCTTGATTGCATGTTCTATTAAAATTTGTATAATATAGTTATGTTGCCAAGGAGATGATTTGACTGTCAATATTTCTGACATATAGAATGAAGAGTTGCACAATAATGTAATTTTACTATATACCCTCTCCCATATTATTCATGGTTTACATATTGTGGAAAACTGGCAACAGATAACTTGCAATAATGCAGGACTGACCGGCAGTTCAATATAATCATAAGCTTCTCAGTGGCAGGACCCAGACCTTATCCATGTTATAATCTACTATGCTGAGGGCCAAGTGCAAGGTACATTATTAGATGCTCACTAGAAGCTTGCTGATTCATAGGATTCATACAGAAATGTCATTATAAAACCTCAGGCTAATCAATTCAATGATTTCAATCTTTCCTCTAGCAAATACTTTAAGAATATTAGCAAGACAAACCTGACTAGTTAACATTTAATTTCCTTTCATTTTTCCTATAGCCAAACTCAAAAAATGAAAACAAAACTTAATCATCTATGAACCAACAATCTGGAAGGGTCACTCTGCAATCTAGGAAGCCTGGATGATTGAGTCCAGGATGTCCTTTCTGTAAATCATAAAGTATTACTTCAGTAAGACAGTGGCCCCCAGAACGAGTTCCCTGGAAATAGCAAGTCATATGATTTAAAACTGCTTAGACTGAGCAAAACGAATGAAGTATTTCTACCCTCTTCCACAGTAGGGTCAATATTGAAGTTTTAGATGCGTACTTAGAGAAAAGAATAGTCATAATAATCATAAAGAAAAAATCTTACAGAAAGATAAGAGAACAAGGGTTGAGAAAAGAGGGACAGGGCAGAATAAGGCTCAAAGCTAAGAGATACAAACCCCTCTATAACTCCTTGGAGAATGAACTAATCTAAAACCCAAAAAAGCAGTAAGAAAATAAACACAAATACTTACCTATTTGAAGACAATCAAAATGTGGTGTGAAAAGTCCAGTGTGGTAGATTTTAATAATAACATAGATATATTTGTTATGAGGATGAAGTGGTTCCTGTAAATCTGAGTGTAAGGACTCCAATACAGGTGTATACGGCTTCACTATTTCTGCACCTGGAAGAAGCCAAAACCAAAGACATACAAATGTAAAAAATACACTGACACAATTATATAGTATATTTAAATGCCCAATATAACCATGATGACATATTTATTATTATTGCTTTTAAATGGATCACTGCTAGAAATTACTTATTATAAATATGATTTTTTGGTACAGGGTGGCATAACTGAATAATAACAATAAATTTATGTTAATAAGTTTGGCCAATTTCTTTCCTAATGGAGTAGTATACTAGCACAGATATGTCAAAATCTGCCCATGTGGGCAACAGCCAATACCAAAATTACTACATAACCAAACCATGCACAATAGAATCAAGTTTTCATGATTCAGCTGTAGCAATGAAAATTACAACATAATCTTAACCAAGTTATCCGTAAGAATATAAGGGAAAAATAAATACATAATTTTATAATATTCAACTTAATCACAGTCTAAAGAACAAAGGTCAGCATATACATAGTATCTGAGTTGTCAAAATTCTTCTTAGGGTTTCTCTTTAGTTTTTCTGGTTCAACAAAATGCCTATAAGTTAAAGTATACTACAGATATAAGATGGTTTTTCAGTAGCATTCTCAAGATTAGTAACTGTTAAGAGAAAAGGTAAAAAATACTACTGGGCAAAGCATGGTATTACCTCTCCAGTTTTGATTACAGACAATTCAGCATAGCCACACTTAATAAGTCCCTCCTATCTACAGGATACTGTGCTAGGCCATAGTGGAGATATAAGAACAAGGACAAAATCTTACATAAACATAATCTTTTTTTAGCCCAGTGCTCTGCACATAGTAGGTAGTTAACAAGTGTGTTGAATTCCGTAAGACAAGGTCCCTGCCCACATGGAGTTTACAGTTAGGAAAACACTGCTTTGGACATGCAGTCTAACACACTGTTGCCCAAAGGTCACCACAATGTAATGCCAAACATAACAACTCACATTGATACAGTGCTTTAAACACTTTGTTCATAAACGCTATGTGAGGTAAGCAGAGCAAGTACATATTATCCCAATTTTAGAGATGGAAAAGAGGCTAACATTTATAAAGTGAAGACCCAGAGAAAAACAACTAAAGTGGCGAGATGGATGAAGGAGAGGCTAACTAATGGTGGAGTAATAAAAATTACGCCTCTTCCACCTTGAAAGGCAAAATCAGAGATGGGTCACAAAGAGAATCTATAAAAGTTATTAACATAGGTAAGGTAATGCAGACATTCTCCAAAGCCCCAAAGGCACATCTTTTCAAAGAGCAATCATCTAAGTTAAGGACAGAAAGGAGCAGTCATTTCACACGACTGGTAAAAAAAAAAAAAAAACAAAAAAACCTCTTAGGACTAAGCAACAGTGCTGGCAGGAAACATAAGCAACCTGGGAAGGGTTTTTCAGAAATCTGTAAATAACAAAACTATAAATGGCTATTTAAGAGAAGTAGGAATATATGTCACTTTTAATACTAATATCAGGGAGGGCTGGGGATCATGAGGATCCCTGAGGGCAGGGACTGTCTTTGATATTTCTTTATGTCCCCAGAACTTAGCCTAGTACTTGGCACACAGTAGGCACATGACAAATGTTTACTGACTGAATGATCATGTCTAAACATAAGGTAGCAATTTCTTTAATAGTATTATTAAAGCTAAAACATTTCTAACATATGTGTACGAAAGGATGCTAAAGCATATATTTAGCAAAGTCTTCACCTACTTCTGATATTTAGCATCTGGCAATCACAATCTAAGCTTAGCCACCCAGGAAAATGTGCTAATGTCTTACAATAAATCACAGGATAAAAAATATTGAATAAATTCATTTTATCGTTTCATAAAGTTAAACTCTAAATGTATAGTTTTACAACATGAAATTATTTTAAAATTATTCCTTTATGTCTCCATGGAACTTACCTGCAACAGTTAGCTTGAGGTAAACATGTTGCCCAATGGGCACCTGAAGATGAGTATCTGGTGGCAGCATCAAGCAGTAAAGTTTGGTATCATGGGTAACATCCACCTTGGAAACCAGCTTGCACTTCCTATAGTATAGCCCTAGAAAAATGATTGAGTTTTTCTTATTCTTGAATATATTTAACAAGTTGTAACTCTCTAAGACTAAGTTGTAGAAAAGTTGCTGAACTGCACAGTAAAAGGAGTTCCTTTATCAATGAAATCTCTAGTCTATACCCTATCCTCATCTTTCTCCCCTCTTAACCAACACACACACACACACACACACACACACACACACACACACACACACACACACACACACACAAAAGAACAAACAGAACTTCACCTGCTTCCTAGGAGTGGAGAGTCTATAAACATACTATCTAATCTGAGTTTTTCATTTATCAAAATACCTTGAAAATTCTGTACAGTAAGTGGTTTTTTTTTTTAACATTTTTCTCCTGTGATTACTGTTTACTAAAGTCTATTTCTAAGTATTTTTGTAATTTTAGAAAATAAACTAAAAATGTATCAGTAAGAAACAAATACATTTCTAATGAAAACTAATTTTAGTTTTATAATTTAATTTTAAACTTTTTTAGTAGAACCATAATTAAATTGTATAACTGAAATGATCATGGATATATTATGCATTCTAAAATCCTTTCTTAAGGAATTTTTATAAAATCTGTCTGAAACTCATGAATATCTGTTTCTGTGGGGACATAGCATTAAAAACAAACTAAAAAAACAAAAAAATCCTATTACATAAACTAGCATTCTCTTTCTGTCAAGAGCAAAGAAGGCCCTCAGCAGATTCTTTGGATGAACTTACAGGAGGTCATGGACAAGAGTTGCTGGGGAGGTATGGACAGGTTGTGACCTGCAGCACTGGAGGGAATATCATTATCAAAAAGCTCAGAAATTCAGGTGAGTCAGCATGTCAGCATATATGAACTTACAACCTAAGTTAGATTAAGGATTCTAATTCCAAATTTAAAAAAATATCCACAAAATATATGCAAAACTTAAAAATCATCCATGAAGAATGGTATATGACCATTCTATGATTTCCTCCAATTGGTTTAGTGGAAAGAACACTGATTTTGTCATAGGATCTCTGTTAAAATCTTGGCCCTGATATCTTCCTCTGGCATTTAGGTGACCCTAAGTGCCTGACTATCAAACCAGCAGAGGACAAGTTCTGGCAGCTTCTATCAAGATCAAAAGGGTTCAAATAAGGCTCCGATGATGTACTGGCTCGAAGTGTGAAGAAGCTCAATATCAGAAAGCTGATTATTAAAGTTTTTTTTTTTTACCACATCAAATCATGAAATGACTTACTAAGGCACAGAAGGTTGCCATCATCTGCATAGGTGTCTAACACTAATAAAATCATTGATATTTTCAAATCCTGAAGCAACAAGATGAAGTCTGGCTAAATGCTCACAAATATGAACTACAGATGAGCAGAAAAGAGGGGTAGGGGGAAAGGTGCAAAACCTGGACTCTTAAGTTCTAAATGGCCTCTGTGTTGGTGTCTGCTAAAAGACATCGGAATTGCATTCCCCATCCTCAGGAGTACTACTTAACAAATTACTGCTCAGATATACCAAATGACACTTAATGGCCTAAAATTAACTTATACCCAAAGTACTTAATAGAGGTATTAACTTCAATCAAGGTTGAGTAAGTGTTCCAATGATATTTCTTGTCAGAAACTTCATTATCAAGGGCACAAAAAAGAGAGCAGGTGTGGAGGATGTGTTTCATAATGTCAGACAAAAGTATGTTAGTGATAGAAAAATGTTATTCTGAGATAGTTTACTCCTCAAATTGAAGCAGTTATCTCCTACTTCCAGGGAAACATAATTTTAGTTCCAGAAATTGAGGGCCCATATTGGTTTAAGGGACTTTCCCACAGTCAAGACAGCAATGAAGTAGTGGAGCTAAGATGTGGTATACTGTATGGTCTTTTGTATTGTAATTATTTGGGGAGAGGGCTAAGAGTGAATGAACAAGGAGCTTGTGAGAGTGGGGGTCCTGGGGACAGGTTAAAGTTAAGCAATGAGACTGCTTGTATCAAGGGGCAGTGGATATATTTGCAGACCCATATGAATGAAGCTTGACTAAGCTGATGACTGATTGAAGTATGCATTTTAGAGGAAGGAAGTAATAATCAAAAAAAGAAATTGGAGCAGTAACTTCAGTGACCTCTCCTAGTCCTTGGTCAGGAACAGTCCACAAACAAGGGCAAATTTGACCTCATAGCTATCAATAAAACTTGCTGGACTAAGAGCCATGACTGGAACATGGATCTGGAGGGGTAATGCCTTATTCTGAAGAAACAAAAAGGTAAATTTTTTGGGGGGTGAAACAAAACAGGTGGGATGACATTGTATAATAAGATGGTATACTCATATGAGAAAATCCAAGAACCAGAGGAGGAAAACATTATGAAGAGTATTTGGATTGACAGTTAAAGGAATTAGAAATAGAAGTGATTTTTTTTCCATTGGAGTATACCTGGCCTAAAACCTCCTGTACAGAAAGAAGAAATATTTAGATGAGGAGTGTGGAAACAGATCACAGAAGTATGATATATTAGTAATGAAGGACTTCAATATCCAGACATCTACTGGAGCTTTCTCTCCTCTCCCCTCCCCTCCCCTTCCCTTCCCCCTCCCCACCCCTCCCACTTACCAAAAAAAGCAGAATAGCTACTAACTTTCTGTCTTGGCTTAGTAAAAATGTCATCTTTCAAAAGGCAAAGGAACCAATAGGGGAAAATTCTGTTTTAATCACAGGTAGGGTACCATGGACTTCCAGAGTAGAGAGAGTTGGTATCCCATGCTTCAGAGAAAGTCAGCCCAGAAATGACGCGAGATGATCAAGAATGAAATTCTGAAGACAGAAAAGGAAGCAGTTTCAATGAGGAGTCAAAATGGGAATGTCTGAAGAGACTTATGTAAATGCACTGGGAACTAATCAACCAACTTAGATTTCAAAAAGAAATATAAAGATGGGAGCAAACCCAGAGTGACAAAAGATCAATAAGGGTGACAAGGTCCTGTAAAAACAGTATAAGAAATGCTACAGAAGATGAATACGGGTGACAAGGTCCCGTAAAAACAGTATAAGAAATGCTAAAGTTCAGAATTATCTGAATGAAGTTGGCAAGAAAAACTACAGACCAAAAGATATGTTCAAAGTATCATTGAGAGGAAAAGGAGGATCAAAGAGGGGCCAGATCCTTTGCTTGAAGGGGACGGAATGATGGTGACTGACTGGGGAAATGGCAGAGCTGCTCATTTCTTCTTTTATTTCTGTTCCCTTTACAAAGGGGAAAGAACCTTACTCTGGAATGGACAGAATAAAAACGAATAACTAGGAGCTGATGCTGTAGATAAGTAAGGAGATGGTAAAAGAGCACCTCATTGCTGTTGATGAATTCAAGTTACCTGGCCAAGATGAATTACATTCTCTGCTACTGAAAGAAATGGCAGAGGTGAGAGCAGAACAACTGTGAGTGATATCTGAAAGACTATAGAAAATAAGAACAGTACCATGAGATTGGAAAAAGGGAAACGCCCTAATTTGCAAAAAAGGGAAGAGAGTTTACAAACTTGGGAAAAGTCATTTTCGCTTAGATTTCTGGGAAAATTCTTGAAACAATCATTAATGAGATAGTTGAGAAATATCTAGAAAGGTAAGCAGTGATTACAAAGAACGGGCATGGCTTCATCAGAAATAAATTATGTCAGACTAACAAATCTTTCCTTTTCTGATAAGACTAGCAGATGAGGGGAATGCTATGGATATAGATTTAACTAAATTTAACCAAAGCTTTTGATGAAGTATCCCATACTATTCTTGTGGATAAAATGGAGAGATATGGATTAGATAATATAAACAGATGGATTCAGAACAGACTCAAAGAGTAGTTGTTAATGGTTCAGTGTCAACATGGCAGGAGGTCTCCATTTGATTCTATGATGTTTAACCTATTACTCAATGACTGATAAAAGCACAGATAGCATACTTATCAAATCTGTAGGTGAAAAACCTGGGAAGGACAGTTAACACACTGGAGGAAAAGTCAAGATCTAGAAAGGCTAGAGCATTGGGCTGGATCTCTACTAAGACACAATTTAATTAGGATAAATGTAAAGTGTTGGTCTTGCATCCAAAAAAAAAAAATAAATTCTACAAATATAAGATGGGGAGGCATAGATAGCAGTAGTTCAGAAAAGGGTCTGAGGTTTTAGCGGACTGCAAATTCATTGAGTCAGCACTAATGACAGCTAAAATGTTAGCAATCTTGGACTGCTGGGAGAGAATAGGGAATAACTTTTAGGAACAGGGAAGTAGTAATCTCACTGTACTCTGTTTTTCTCAGGTCTCATCTGGAATATTATGTTTAATTCTGGGCATCAGGGTTTAAGAAGGAGATTGATAAGCTACAGAATGTCAAAGGAGGGAAACCAGATGGTGAAGTTCATGACATATGAGGACAGGTGGAAAAAACAGGGCATATTTAACAAGAAAAAAGGTGACGTCGTTGGGGTGGGATAGGGTGTGGGGGATGACAGTTATGTTCAAATATATGAAAGGCTATCATAAAGAGGAAAGGTTAGATTTGTTCTGTATGACCTCAGAGGGTAAAACTAAGAGCAATGTAACGGGTGTCACAAAGATGCCAATTTAACTTTGATGTCAGAGCAAATTTCCTAACAATTAGAGATGTTCAGAAGCAGAATGGCTTGTTTCTAGAGGTTTTAGATTCCTTCTCCAAGCAGAAATCCAATGACCAATTGTCAGCATGTTTTAATACAGATTCCTTTAGGTATGAGTTGAACTAGATGGCTGTTCCAATTCTCAAATTCAGTGATTCTGATTCTGTAAGGTTTTCAACAATTAATTCTCTAGACCTATATACCCCTAAATTCTGGCCACGTTTGTCCTTCATCAGAAACATTCTATGCTTAGGCAAACCAACCTACAGACAGGAAATTTGTTTTTTAAAAAACACAGCTGACTTTATTAAGAGTTTCCTTCCTTCAAGTATTTGTTACCTGGAGCATTTTACTTACCTAAAT